GAGCCTGAACCATGTGGGATGTACTGCGATTGTCAGTACGTGATGGTCGACCATGCAGTTTACAACATGTTTGTCGAGTATGGCCTAGCTTGTTGCAATAGTTGCAGTAGGATCTAGAGCTTTTACCTTTCCCCCTCTGTGAGACATTTAGTTCCTGTGAGTTTTCATTTTACACAGCTAACACAGATGTCTCAAGTTTAGTAGCATCAAGTGTTTCTGAGCCAACATGTAATGATCGGGCAGACACTTCAACTAAGGAAGGAACTGTAGAACTCGCCAAGATTTGATCCCTTACAAGACTAAGATCAGATCGAAGTCCTTTCAGTGCCAAAACCATAAAGAACTTACCCCTTTGTTGCTCTTGTGTGGTGACACTTGCAGATAGTGGCATGAGAGAGTCAAATTGATCTTTTAAGGTATCTATTTGTCCTATATAACTCGCCATATCTTGATTATTTTGCTGTAGTTGGACTAAATCTGATACAACTTTGTATTTACGTTGTATATCGTTCGTATACAAAGTCTTAGCTTTTGTCCAAACTTTATAGCAACTCTTACAAGATTGAAATAGGTTGAGTAATTTAGGATCTAAGGAATTCCATAAAAGATTGCACAATTGTACATCAATTCTATTCCACTTAGTCCTCTCAGTAGTAATAATATCACTAACAGTTTTTATAAAATGTTCTTCATATCCCTGACCCATAAATCACATTTCAACTAAGGAAGACCATGATATGTAAATATTATTGCCTTGTAATCTGACAATTATAATAGTGAAAGAATTCGAAATTGAAGAAAAGAATGGTTTGATGTCGCCTGTCTGCGAAGAACCATCTTGCTCCGACATTTTGAGATTTTAATTCCGGAAAGGTCAAATGTGTAAAAAATAATATGTTGCAAATAACTTCCACTAGAATCTAGAATAAACCAAAATAATGGCTTAATGTTGAGGAAAAACAGAAATCCATAGTGAACTCTTTGAAAAAGCAATAAAGAAGTGGGACAAAATAACCCACTAGTGTAAGAGAAAGGCAATAAAAGTGGGACTTGAAATAGCTTTAAGGAAAAGCTTATCAGAAACCCAATTACTCTGTTCCTCTCTCAAAATACAAGACCCAACAACTCTTCTTCCTATCTCATTACAACTTCAACAACAACAATAAGAAGCAAAAGTAGAGAAATTTCTTACGTGTTCTAAAAATGGCAAGATTGGTTGCATTCTTTTCTCTTTGTTTACTCTTTGCTTCTTTGGCAGCTGCTACTTCCCCTTTCCTTGTTAAGGATAAATGTTATTGTGACACTTGCCGCTGTGGCTTTGAGACTGAAGCTACCAAGTATCTCGCTGGATACAAGATTAAAATTGAGTGCAAACACAAAGATGAAATTTTGGTGGCAGATAAATATGATTACAGTGCCTATTCTTTCTGAACTCAAGTGTTTTCTTATGGAAACAAGACATGGCTGGGAAAGGAGACTACTAATGGAGTCGAGGTCAGAGGGTAACAAGATTTGATCCGGAGTAGTGACTGCCGAAAAAAGCAACCGAAAAAGTATGAGTCTCTACCGAGATCGTAGAGGCTCTGATACCATGTGAATAATGTAAGTGTATTTCACTTCATAATTAAAATGATAGATTACATCGAGAATATATACACAAAAGCTAGACACATAAGTCAACAATGCATCCTTGAGATCATGCCTTTTACCTACAATATTTGACTATCTATCCGACATACAATCTAATATTTGAAATACTCTCCGACAATATCTAACAGTCCTAAATTTGGAGATGCCTCTTTGATAAGCCTGAATGACTCGACAAAATCATCCCCAAGCTGGTTAGGATCTGGAATTATTCCCTCATCAACTGCTACTGCAAATGTTAACTTCTTGGCACAACTACACGCATGAACAGAGGCGTATGTAGCCCTATAACATCGTGTTTAATTGAACCCATAATTTTCGACACGGAGTAAAAATTTATATGTAAAAAATTACTACAATCACAATAAATTATAGTTATGAACCCATAACTTTAAGGATATAATGAATTCAGTAGTAAAAACTTTAAAGGTTGAACCCATAGAGTTTAAACCCTGGATCCGGCCGTCTCTACGCATGAATCATTAGCCCTTACAATATGCAGCATTTGGATTTAGCGATTCTGACATGAGTAGGCTCTTCTTTTATTATTTTTAAATATGGAACGAAGAGTGTCCAAATATAATGATATGAGTGCACAAGGTTCATAAACCTGATCTCAACTAGTTTGTGATAGATGAGACATAATTAATTGATGGTTGACTGAAGAAACTTACAGTTGGATGTCTAATCACATGTTGGGGCAAGGAATGTCAATGGATGGCCTGACCAAGAAATTTGAGATTGTATTTCGTCCTTTAAGTACACACTTAATTACACACTTTGCAATTTGAAGTGGGTGCTCTACTGGTGTGTTGGAAACACAAATTTCCAGCCCCTTCGTGCAACCGTCTCTTTTGAGAGTGACGTTCAGAGTGCAGGATCATTGTATAATAAACTACCAGACTAATGGGAAGTTTCAATCTTGAACATCTTCAAATCACTAACACAAACTTATAGCAGTAGTCCTAACCACATTATAAGTAGACTATAGTGTAAGCTCAAAAACTCTGTAACTTCATAGTGCAAACTTCAAAGACTTTCTTGCAAGTCCTAGCATATACTTTCCTTGACCCACTTAAAATCCAAGTTCACTTTCGTATTACATTTCCTAGCTAGACCATTATTATTATTTTTTTTGGGTGGTTAAAAGACCATGTTTTACTTGCACGTAATTAATTTTATGAAGAGCAAAGTTTTCCTTTTTGTCATCTAATTAGTGGTCGCAAAATAGTTACAAGAAAACAGTTATTCACACATATTATCCATTAAAATATAGGTTGGATAATGAACTTTTAAAAAATGGATCAAATATGGATAAGAACCATATTATCCGCTTAGAAAATGAAAAACTAATGAATAATTAATGGATATATAACTAATGAGTTTAACCTTTACATTAGTAAATACTCAAATTGGGCGTTCATCAAGTTTGGGAGATTAGGAATTCAAAGTGATCATATTTAAAGTCATATATTATCCACCGGTTAACCTGTTTTTTTATCCGTATTAAAAAAAGGTTGGGTCGGATAATTTATCCATTTTTACATTACCCATTTTTCGACCTACCCATATCTGATCCGACCCACCCGTTTGCCACCCCTGCCTCTAATGCATTGTTGTTCCCTGTGAGTTTCAATCAACTTAGGTTGCCTGTGGGAAAAAGAAGATCGTATGAAATTCCAATGGAACAACAACCTGAGAAATCTCTAATTCATGAGAATTGCATGTTGTAACAGCCAAAGGAGTTGAAAGAAACATCTTATTACTGGATAGGTATAAATGTCGCTATCTGCACAAGAATCGGATTCACACATAAAGTTTCACTTACATTTGTTCAATATAGTGCAGGCATAAACATTGACTATGGCTCGTTTGCCTGTGTTTCTTTGTTTCCTACTACTAGCGCTCGTAGGATCTTCCTCGGCTGCGCCATCCTGTCCAACTGTTAAAACGCAGCTAGCACCTTGTCACTCGTATGTCGAAGGTAATCTAAAGGCTGATCCATCGGAAGCTTGTTGTTCAGGTTTAAAGGACATACTTGAGCTTGTAAAAACCAAAGAAGATGGAGTTGCTCTCTGCAACTGTATAAAAACAACAGTGATTGATGATCACGATATTCCCTCTCGCATTGCTGAACTCCCCAAGAAATGTGGCCTTCCTTATACTATCCCTCCCATAGATAAGAACTTCGACTGTAACAAGTAAATCCAAATATTTCAGCCATTTTTCGCAGAATGCTTGCTTGATCTGCTTATAGCTTAACTTTTTGTTCTTTACATGCAGAATTTCTTTGAACTGAAGGGATAGCGCGCGCACAAGGAAGCTGCCTGAACCACTATAGAATTATGAATAAACCATACAAGTTGATATCATTAATTATGTATGAAACAATATTTAAAATGTATTATGTATCTGCAAGCCAGATACACTGTGAAATTCAATTTTTTGCAGACAATTGAATGTTGATGATATTTGATCAATGCTTGGTCTTTTGATAGTTTAGCTCCAGATATCGCTGATAAGTGACTTAAGATCAAATTTTAAGATGTTGCTGACTATCATATGGGGTTTAAAATCAGATAAAGTCGGATTATAACACAGCAACAGATTAATTTTTACTGAGGCGGCAAGAAAAAGGTCCGATCATTAATTGTTTGTACTGTTAAAGCTAGAGGTACAAAAAGCCAACCAAATTAGAAGCACGCTGTGACAGAACCTGGTTCCCCACTTCTCTTATACAAGAAGTACAAACTATACCATATTCTTGGCCTGATTGAATAGACTCCCAACAAAAAAGTCGAAAACTGAATCCAGATTAAGGCTCAGTTAGTTTATCAATCACAACTCTTGAAATGTGGAGAATTATCAGCATTGCATGATGCTTGTGTGTTAACGGGAAAGAAATTCAGGCAACAAATTCTTTCCTCACATAATATAAGTTATTACACCCAAATAAGAAAACCGCACTCATCAGTATCTATGGTTAAAAAAAAAAATGGTGAAGATATTCTATACTCTGATCATTCTCTTGCTAGTTTTAGCAGCACCAGCAATGACCAAGCCTTCTTGTAACATTGTTTCAAAAAGGCTAGTACCATGTTATTCATACATTAAAGGGAAATCATTCCATCAAGCCATCAAATAGGTGCTGCAGAGGACTGAATGATATAGCTGATATGGTGAAAAATGGCGAGGAGGGTCCTATAGCTGTTTGCTTGTGCATAAAGGGGGCAATTTTACATGTTCGTTATGATCCCACGCGCATCACACTTGCTTCACAACAATGTCATACACGGTTATTGTTAAAACTTGATTTAAGCGCAAATCGTTGAGGATTTTATATGAGTTTATGGTGAGGTACGGAAGCTTCTAGGTTTTCTCTCTTTTCATTTACACAGAATGAATAATCTGTCTCTTACAAATGTAGCTTTCTCTATCTAGGAATAGGCCGGCCCACTAATACACTACAGAATAAAACAAATACAAGGTGGGCTTCTGGGCCCAATGGTAAAAGAAAGAAAAGGTAGCCCAAGTGGCTAATAGCCCAGGTGGCTAAGTAATAGCATTTTCTTGTATCTCAACATCCCCCGACAAGTTGGAGGGTGAGATAACCCCCAACTTGTGAATATGCAGATGATGAACAGCTCCTCCCAAAGGTTTAGTGAACATATCAGCAAGCTGATTGGCACTGGAAGTGTGAAGCAGCTGAATCAGACGGTCATTCAACTTGGTGCGAACAAAATAACAATCCAATTCAATGTGTTTGGTGCGATCATGGAAGACAGGATTCTTAGCAATGTGGATGGCAACCTGGTTATCACAAAACAGACTAACAGGAGAAGAAAAAATAACACCAAAATCAGAAAGAAGCCTACAAACCCAAGTGATTTCAGCAGTGGCCTTACTCATAGACCTGTATTCAGCTTCTGCAGATGACAAGGAGACCACAGATTGCTTCTTGGACTTCTAGCCGACTAGACATCCTCCTAATAAAATGCAAAACCCACTGATGGATTTTCTACTGTCCGGGTAAGATCCCCAATCACTATCACAATATACACTGAGAGAGAGATCAGGAGAATTATTATAGAAGATCCCAAAATCAAGAGTACCCTTGAGATACCTGAGCAAACGTAAAGCAGCCTGCATATGAGGACGGCAAGGCCTCTGCATAAACTAATTTAAATGTTGCACTGCAAAGCAAATGTCAGGTTTTGTATGGGTTAAGAAATTGAGTTTACCCACTAAGCACCTATAAGTCTCAGGATTGGGCAGGGGATCACCATGATCAGCCTGCAGCTTGTCATGCATCTCAAGGGGGGATATCACTGAAGAACAATCATAGGAGTGAAACTCTTTGAGCAGATCATGCACAAACTTTTTCTGATGCAACAACACCCCACCCTCAGAATACAACACTTCAATACCCAGAAAATAGTTAAGATGGCCTAAATCCTTAATTTTAAACTGATCATGGAGGAAGGTTTTCACAGCGGCAATCTCACAAAGATCTGTCCCAGTGATGATGATATCATCAACATATACCATTAAGAGTACCAAGGCATCACCAGAACCCTTAGTAAAAAGTGAATAGTCATTGAAGGAGTGCTCATAGCCTCTAGAGGACAAATATTGAGACAACTTGGCATACCATTGCCTTGAAGCTTATCTCAATCCATACAAAGATTTTTTTAGTTTACAGACCAAAGGGGTGGAAATAGGAGTAGGAGATACAGTAGATAATTAAAGATCGGGTGGAAGCTTCATAAAAACTTCTTCATCTAAGTCCCCATACAAGAAAGTATTATTAACATCTAGTTGGAATAGTGGCCAATTTCTTTTAACAGCTACAACAATTAAAGTTTTAACAGTAGATATTTTAACTACAAGTGAGAATGTTTCATGGAAGTCTATGCCTTCAACTTGTATATCACCCCTTACCACAAACCTAGCTTTATATCGTTCTATACTCCCATCAGTTTTGTACTTAATTTTGTATACCCATTTGCAGCCAATTGGCTTCTTGCCCTTGGGTAACTCAACTTTGTCCCAAGTACCATTAGTCTTCAATGCCTCAAACTCTTTCCTCATAGCATTCTGTCACTCAGGGAAAGCTGCTGCCTGAGAATAAGTAGTAGGCTCAAATGCATAATGCTCACTAGAAGTAGACATAACAGTTTAATTGGTAGGCCTGGAGCTAGGATTAGGTAGAGTGCAGACATAATTTTGCAGATAAGAAGGAGGATTGTGAGGCCTAGATGATCTCCTTAACGGGGGGAATTCAGATTCATGGAAAGAAAGAGGGAGATTAGAGGAAGCAGAAGAGGTGTTCAGAGATATTTCAGAATCAGAAGAAGCAGGATTATATGGATGAGGAGAAACAGCAGATGCAACTTATGGAGCAGGGTAAAAGAAATCATGGAACAATGAAGAATTCTTCTTAACAGAGTGATCAAAACATGCAGAAAATGGCAAATGTGACATAGTAGGGGAAGTAGATCCAGACTGAACAAAAGCGAAAACATGTTCATGAAATATAACATCTCTAGAGACAAAAAAGACTTTATTTTGTAAATCATATAGCTTATAGTCTTTCTTCCCAAAAGGATAATCAATAAACACACAAGGAATGGCACTAGGCTGCAGTTTGTCCCTATGAGTGTTTGGGACAGTAGAGTAACATAAGCAGCCAAAAGATCTAAGATTTGAGTATGTGGGGAGTTTGTTATATAAGATCTCATAGGGACTCTTGTCCTTTAATACACTAGAAGAGAACTTATTTATCAAATAGGTGGCTGCGAGTATGCAGTCTCCCCAAAATCTAAGAGGAAGACCAGATTGAAAAAGAAGATCTCTAGCAGTTTCCAAGAGATATCTGTGTTTCCTTACCATAACTCCATTTTGTTATGGAGTGTGAGGACATGTTGTCTGATGCAATATCCCTTTCTCAGAAAAGAATTTTGATCCAAGAATGCTGGATCCCAGCTCTAAGGTATTATCGCTCCTTACATGTTGGACTTTAAATTGGAATTGAGTTTCAGTCATGGCAATGAAGGCTTTTAAGAGGACAAAAGCATTACTTTTGGCTCCCATTAGGTGGGTCTAAGTGGCTCTTGAAAAACCATCAACAATGGTCATAAAGTATTTAGAGCCAGTATATATAGGAGAGTGATATGGACCCCAGGTGTCAATTTGGATCAACTGAAAAGGCTTTGTGGATTGTATACTACTATCAGGAAATGGGAATCTTGTTTGTCTGGCTAGTGGACATATTGGGTAAGAAAAGGACTGTTTGGGAGATAACTGTGAACCAAGCATAGAGATGTGTTTCATTCTAGAAAAAGAAATATGCCTAATTCTATAATGCCAAACCACATCCATTTTATTGATATTATTCAGAATTGCATAAGTATTTACATGTGCATCAGCGTCAGCAACATTTACATTCTTTGCATTTTCTTGTATCTCAGGGAAAACACCGACATGGGGAGTAACACTAGAAGAGTAACTGGATGTGGTACTGGGAGAAGAAACATGAGGAAGTAAAAACTTTGTAGAGGTTATGGTCCAGTTTACCAAGAACCAGAGGCATCTTCAGAGAAGGGGCCTGTATAGCACAAAGAGTTCTGGTAAACAGAACAATCCCATTGTATTGTTCTAACAGCTTATGAACTGAAATAAGATTGTATTGTAAAGAAGGAACATAAAGAACATGATGAATTGTAAAATTTGGAAACAAAGTCAAAGATCCTACTAAATGAACTTTGAATTTGTAACCATTTGGTAGAGAAACTAGACAACGTATAGGTAGTGTTTGCAAATTAAAAAGTAAACCCTTATGAGAAGTCATGTGATCAGAAGCCCCAGAGTCTATTATCCAAATAAAACTATCAACTTGTGAAAGCATGCATGACTTGAGCAGAATACTTTCTGATAACAGCTTACCAGCAAAGTTAGCAGAAGCCATTAGAGTAGGAGTAGAGGAGGAATCAGCACACACATGGGGTTGTTGTAGTAGCATCATCAGCTGAGAGAATTGATCTTGTGTCAAACTAGGAATCATTGAAGCATTACCAAACTTAGATGACTTGACAGAATCAGGAACCATATTAGAATTCTCATTAGCAGGAGGACAAGGAGAGTTCACTTCAACATGAGCTGCAGTTTCCTACTGCCAGGCCCTTTTTGTGAACTTAAAATTTGAAGGATACCCATGTAGTTTGTAGCACTTGTCAATGGTGTGACTTGGTTTCTTACAATATTTGCATGTAAGGGATCTTTGAGCATCAAAATTAGCTCTGGAAGGAAAGCCTTGTTTAGACACCCCAGCATTGAAAGAGGCAGATGTAAGGAGAAACTGAGGAGAGGTAGAGACCTACCTTTACTTCTCATCTGACAACAATATACTATAGACATTGCTCACAGATGGAAAAGGCTTAATCATGAATTTATTCCTTCTAGTTTGCACATATACATCATTGAGACCCATCAAAAATTGATACATCTTTTGAACATCATCATCTTTCTGGTAATCAGATTTGAAACCACAGTTGCTACAGGACCTGACTCTACTTATTGACAAGGCATCAATTTCATCCCACAATTGCTTGATTTTGTTGAAATATGAAGCAATATCAAGTGACCCTTGTGAGATGTGAGCTAGTTCTTTCTTAAGCTCAAATACCCTTGCAGCATCTGCTTGACCATATCTTTCCTCCAACTCACTCCAAATATCTTTGGCAAGTTCAGAGTACTCAACACTACGAGCAATATCTTTGGACAAGGAGCTGGTTAACCAAGAGACGACTAAATCATTACACCTCTGCCACTGTCTCGCCAAGGGAGAAATGTCAGGAGGCTTAACTAAAGATCCATTAATGAAATTCAGTTTATTTCTAACAGACAAAGACACAAGGATGGTTCATCTCCAACTCCCATACCCAGTACCATCAAAAGGTACAGAAACTAATGAAGACCCTAAAACATCAGACAGGTGCACATAAAAGGGATGACATGGATGCGTATAATCATCTTCATGAAAAACAGAACGAGAAGTAGTAGAACGAGCAGTTGGTAACGCATATGTAGAATCATCATCATTCGGCATTTTGTACACAATTAATCAGAAGAAATACACACAATCAAACAATGAGAAGAGATAACTAGGGGTACCAAATTTCCTTCGCGACCGGAAGGAATAACAGCCTTGAAAAAAAATAGTGACAAGGACAAGCGAATCCTAACTGAATGTGCAATTGCAGAAACCACCAAATCCTAGGTTGAGGAAGACGTCTCAGAAAATACCAAATAGGTTCGATCAATTTACCAGAAACATTCAAGTGCTAGTAGAAAAGCACTAATTTTCATCGTCAACACTGAAAAATCTCGCCGGAAAATCTCAGAAATGCGAAGAAACGGCGGAACCTCAAAACTCCGATGAAAATGTGTGAGGGTAACATTAGACGAGAGACAATTACCCGATCCATCTAGATCTTGGCTCTGATACCATGTTAAAACTTGATTTAAGTGAAAATCGTTGAGGATTTTATCTGCGTTTATGGTGAGGTTAGATAGAAAGAGACGGAAGCTTTTAGATTTTCTCTTTTTATTTACACAGAATGAATAATTTATCTCTTACACATGTAGCTTTCTCTATCTATATAATGGGAATGGGTCGGCCCACTAATACATTACAAAATAAAATAAATACAAGGTGGGCTTCTGGGCCCAATGGTAAAAGAAAGAAAAGATAGCCCAAGTGGCTAAGTAATAGCATTTTCTTGTATCTCAACAGTTATCTCTGCCTCCCATTGGCCATAACACTGTTTGTTCAAGGTATAGTTTTGATATTGCTGATGTAGTATGATGGCAGTCGACAAACTAAAACTATATGGATTTAAGTTATATATAGTGACAGTGAAAATTGTTTTACAGAATATTGTGGTTTTTATCCTGTTATAGTAGGTGCAGAACTAAAACCTGAACTGGGAAGGAGAAAGAAAGGAAGGACTATCTATTCGATTGATTTACTTTTCATTAACCTGTCTGCTGTCTTGTTCACATACTGGTTTTTACATTTGGTGACGGATTAATGCCTATATATCAAATGTAACAAGTAAATACAAATATTTCAGCCAATTTTTTACGGAATGCTTTACTTGATCTTCTAGCCTAGCTTCTTTTTGCCCTACATGCAGGATTCCTTTGAGTTGAAGGGATAGCGATCAAGTAAGCTGCCTAAACTACTATAGATTTTGAACGAACCATACAAGTTAATATCATATGTATGAAACGATGTTTTAAACGTATTATGTATCTGCAAGCAAGATTCACTGTAAAATTCAAATGTTTGTAGACCTTTGGATGTTGGTGCTATTTATCAATTCCTCGGATATTATTAGTTTAGCTCCAGATGTCAGTGATAGGAGACTCATGATCAAATTATACGATAGTGTTAAGAGTCATATGGGGTTAATAATCCAACATAAATCAAAGTCAAGAACAAAAACTGTCATGATAAAATATGAACTGACAATTCCCAGATCTTGTTACTTTGTTAAGGGCAATATTCACGGAATTTCAACTTTGATTCCTTAATTCCATGCTTCTCAACTGAAAAGCATGTATGGCAATGCACTTCGACAGACAAACTAAAACCATCTTCTTTGTAAAGTAGATTGGTATTGACCATATAATTGGAGCAGAACTTGAATGTAGTAGTCTAAGAAGCTAAGTTCCACAACTGGCTCGATTCTTCTTCAGCCAAATACGATAAAGTAAAATTTGCACAATGAACAATAGCATACGAGGAAATCCATGTTTTTTCTTTGCCAGTTTCAAAACGAGGAGATGGTAAAGATCATTGCTATTTTGCCTAATCTGAAGACTGGAAATGTTCTAGCATATGACAAACATCTTATAGATCACAAAATCTAGATATTGGAACATTATGGGGAGTTGGATTGATCAGACTATAACACTGCAATAGATTAACTTTTATTGAGGAGGCAAGAAAAAGGCTATAACATTACTTGTTGGTATATATTGTTACAGCTAGAGGAAACTAAAATGATCTTACAAAAGCCAACCAAATTGAAACAGCTAAAGAAACTCATTGAATGCTTTTCTAAATCTAAACATTTAAGGCAAGTTTCAAAGTTTCAAGGAACTGACAGTCGACAGACATCTTTGCGATTAAATTCTACCTAAATAATTAGTATTTGACTGTGAACTGCTAAGATGATGAAACGAAAGGAAGAAGTTCACTACAGTATACGACAATATACTCCTTCCCCACAAGAAATTGTACTGGTACCATTGTGCAATTTGTTAGCTATACACTGAATTCTTGAATAAGCCTCATCAAGAAGACCAGAGGAGTAGTTTTGTTGGATAAAGTATTCTCTATTTCGATATTTATAGACTTGAAAAAATAAAAACACAATATTTGATTCCAAGTCTATAAATATTGTAATCTCTTGGAAAGTATTAAAGGCAGAGAGAAGTTCATTCCCATTAGAGTGTTAGCATTGTCTAACTTAGAATGTTTAATTTTTTTCTGGAAGTAAACAATCTTTTCATCTTTGCAAAGCGAATTCAAGATTTGGAATTAGTAGGATATATAACCTCTGCTTCTCTTTATAAAAATCCTACCATTTCCTTGATAATGCAAGAAGTCATATAAAAGTGTCTTTGTTTTCTTGTTCTTACACCCCGGAAATTAAGAATGTGTAGAGTATGATGGCAACAAATTAGAAGTATGCTGTGACAGAACCAGGTTCCTCACTTCTCTTATACAAGAAGTACAAAATATAGCATATTCTTAGCCTAATTGAATGCACTCCCAACCCAAAAAAAGATCACAATCTTTAAATGTGTAGGAGTATCAGCATTTCATGATACTTGTGTGCTAACCGCCCAAGAAATTAAGGCAACAAACCCTTGGCTCACATAATATATCTACAATACTCTTTAGTTTGTCATTTGCACAATCACCAAATACAAAAACTACAGTCACTATCAGCGGAAAAAGAAACAATGGTGAAGCTGATCTATACTCTGATCATTCTCTTGCTAGTTCTAGCACCACCAGCAACGGCCGAGCCTTCATATATCATTGTCTCGAAAAGGCTAGTACCTTGTTATTCGTACATTGAAGGGAAATATCATTCAATCAAGCCATCAAATAGGTGCTGCAGAGGACTGAATGACATAGCTGATATGGTGAAAAATGGAGAGAAAGATCGTATAGCTGTTTGCAAGTGTATAAAGAGAGCACTTTTACATATTACTTATGAACCTTCTCTTATCGCTATTGCTTCACAACAGTGTCAAACGCGGTTATCTCTGCCTCCCATTGGCCATAACACCAATTGTTCTTAGATATACACTGAAAAGGGGCTGATATAGTATGAGGGCAGTGGATATATTTGATCTATATACTATGATTGACGATATTATATACTATAATTTAAAAAAAGTGAATCTTTAATTTATACTAAGTAATGGTTGTAGTAGTACTTCGCATTACACTTGCTTGATGCTTCACTGCAAGAATGATCATTTATCCAAGACAGTTTAAGGAAAATGGGAAAATCCTAGTAAGATTGTGCTTGATTTTCGTCATGCTAAATAATTTTACACATGTTTACCCGAAAAATCGGATATAGTTGAATTTATAAGTAGTTCTAAGGATATGTGATATAGCTTGACATAAATCGAACGTAGAAGTGGAAATGTTTAGATTCTTGGCTATAAAAACGGGAGATAAATTATTGAACAAGAAGAGTGAGTATGCTAAGTAAAATAAGCTCAAGAGATTTATTCTTCAATAAGAGAAGTAGTCTTTTCTTACAATGTGTGAACATTTCTTGTGCTTACAAGGATTTTCCCTTTTATAGTAGAGAGATCTTACTTTATTTATAACAAAAAATATATAGTGGAGAATCCATGATGAATTGTCTCTTCCTCGATTCCCGCCAAGATTCTCTCCCCTAGTGCGGTTGCAACGGCTCTTGTCTGCGAGCTCGATACTGGCTCGAACTCGGTATTGGGTCAAGCCCTCGGCCTTGGTTCGAGTTCGACATTCGGGGTGAGTGTCAATCGGTTTGTGCGTCTCCGACAACCTTCACGTTTCCTTGCGGTTCGATTTGGTCATGGGCTCGATAATGATACCGAGGCGATTTCTTGATCGGTCTTGGAGCTCAAAGCTTGTTTGTACTATCTTCGGAACTAATCTCGAAGTCTCACTTCGGTCGCTTACCATTCGAATTCGATCAAACGTACGAAGGCCGAAATCTATTTCAACCATATACAGATAGTCTCCTCGTTTCTCAGGAAGAATGTGGTGAGAAGCGATATGATTTTCAACGGCTCGATCGGGTTATAAGCTGACGTTTTCACTGGGCTCGATCATGACGTACATGATAGATGTCCCGTCGATTTAGTCTTTCAAGATATTTAATGCATGTCAGATGGTGGTCGGCCACCGCTGATACTGAACCGCCACGGTATAAACCTATAAATAACCCTTCCATTTATCATTTACCACTCTTACATCTTCAATCTTTCAAATTTTCTTACTCTTTCTGCCTCTATTTCGCCGCTTGTAGAGCCACCTTCACCAGCGTTTGGCACCATCAACCTTTTATCTTCCTTTGCTTTTATTTTTCTTATATCAATGGCAAAAACTTCAAAAACCGTACCTCAGAAGGAAAAAGCTTCCTCTTCACGGCAGTCTGGCGACAAGGCGCCGGTGGAGCCACCTCCCCACGAGTATGTTCCTGGACCGTGTACTCTAAAGATTGATTTTAAGGTTGAAAATCCTTCGTCGGTTCTAGGTCGATGTGAGCATGTGTCGATGTACATGTGCTCGATAACAGAGGGCCATCTCGAGGCTGTGAGAAAATACTGCAACTGGGGTCCCGAGGTTGTGTTGCAAATTCCCTCTTCCGAAGAGAGCATCATCACTAATGTGGAGGGGGTTTTAAGTGTTTATACTTACCCCTTCACGTTGGGTCCCGTCGACCCAGTGATCATTGATTTTTGCAAAAGATATCAGGTCACCCTCGGTCAAATTCATCCTTCTCTATGGCGCATAGTAATCTTACTTCGCTTCTTCTCCAACAAGGCCGGGGGGATGGATTTCACCCTAAATCACCTCATACGATTGTATCCTCCTCAAATCTTTCGAGGACTAATCAGGCTCGAGCATCGGGCATCGAAAGCTTTAATGTCGAGCATCGACGAAGACAAGGATTGGGGTTGGATGGGCCATTATATTCGGGTGAGGACCCGTGACATTATCCCGGAAGAGAAGATGTCGTTCCCCGAGGAATGAAATTTCGACCGTAAGTAATTTTTATAAGGTGTTGTTTTTCGTATATTTCTCTGATTCTATCTGATATATCCCTCTAATATACAGCTGCCCCTTGGATGCCACAAGCGGTACCCGACCTCGAGGATTGGGTTCAGAAGTTAGTCTCGACTTCCTCTTATGCCGAACGCGCTTGGCGTGATTTAGCGAAAGGTAGGTGGGAGGCCAAGAATCACGGTAAGGGTCACTTCTCATGTTTTTCGAAATATTTTTTATGCTCCATTCGTTACTGACTTCCTTTCTTGCA